AAATATTTCGATTAACTGGAGAGATTCAAATAATAGGAGAAAATCCCTTGAAACATTGGGAAAGAAATAAGGAATTAGCCAACATATTGATTATAAACAAGGATTTAGTAATTAGAACAAAAAGAATTAAAATATAGTCCTTTAGATAAGAAAGAATTTAAAATACAATTAAAAGAATTAAAGGATTTAGGGCTAATTAGGAATTCCAATTCAGAACATAGATCGACAACATTTATGGTAAGAAATCATGCTTAAATTTTGAGAGGAAAAGCTAGAATGGTTATAAATTATAAGAGGTTAAATGATAATACTGAAGGTGATGAATATAAAATACCTGATAAAGATATGTTAATAAATTTAATACAAGATAGAAGTATTTTAGTAAGTTTGATTATAAATCAGGATTTTCGTTGAATAAATTAGATGAGGAATCTATAAAATATACTGCATTTACAACACTCTTAGGACAATATGAATGGATTATTATGCCTTTTGGATTAAAAAATGCCCCTAGTATATTTTAAAGGAAGATGGATAATATATTTAAACATTTAGATTATGTACTTATATAAATTGATGATATTTTAGTAACCTCATATACTTTACAAGAACATTATCAACATGTAGAAGAAGTATTAAAATTATGTATATAAAATGAAATTATATTATCCAAAAAGAAAATAGAAATAACAAAAGAATATATAGAATTTTTAGGATGAAAAATAGGAAAAGGAACAATAGAATTACAAGATCATATTTCCAAAAAGATATTAGAATTTCCTGATAAAATAGAGGATATAAAAGAATCACAAAAATTTTTAGGACTTTTAAACTATGCTAGACCTTATATAAAAGACTTAGGAAAGACCATTAAATCTTTATATAAAAAGACTTCTTCAACAGGACAAAAATACTTTAATATATAAGATGTAAAAATTATACAAAAAATAAAAGAACAAGTTAAAAAATTACCAAAATTAAAATTACCCTTAGAATCTGAATATAAAATAGTAGTAGTAGACACTTCTGAAAGCGGATGGGGTGCAGAATTGAGAGTAAAACCGTATGAAGAAGCATACCAAAATACTAAAAATTATGTAGATATGTCTCTGGTAGCTTTAGACAATTACCTACAAGTATGACTTCTTTAGATTATGAAATATTAGGAGTAATTAATGCACTTAATTCTTTTAGACTATTTTTACAAAAGAAATTTACTATAAGAACAGATTGCAAAGCTATAGTACATTTCTACAAAATAAAAAATAAAAGTAAAATATATAGTAAAAGATGGATTAATTTTATAACTACCATCGAAGGAAATTGTTATAATGTTAGCTTTGAACATATTAAAGGAAAAAATAATTTTCTATCGATTTTCTTTCCAGAGCTATAAAAAATGTTAAAGAAAATATAAAATATTTAGCTTTTAAACCTCCTTATAATATTATAGAAAGTTTTAATCATATACTTAGGAAATTTATTAAGAAATAATATTAATTATTATATTTTTCTTACTGGAATGGAACAAAGAATGGTTAAATTTGCTCATCTAAATTTACCAAGTAGGCATGAAACTAATCTACAATTTAGGCATAGACAACAACTAAGAAAACCATTAAATCACTCTCAAATTACTATATTAGATAATCTGTGGTGTAATAAAAGCATTACTTCATCTATGATCCACACTTTGAATTGTTTAACTATAAATTTTATGGAAACCAATGATATAATACAAAATTTGCAATATGAAAAAACACATCCTAAAATAATAAATCAAGAAGACAAAATTCAACAGTTAGAAAAACAACTCAGAGAAGAAAAAGAAAAAACCTTAAAATTAGAAGAAGGAAGAGATAAGTTATTAAAAGATAAAGAGTATTTTGTCACAGCAATTATGGATATCTCTAAATATAACTTAGAAAAACAATTACAATATTTATATATTCTAGAACTTCTTGAGGTAATGAAATAAAAAATCTTTAAAATAATAAAATCTGATAATAAAAATAAAATGATAGAATGTTGTAAAGATTTAATTATGGCTTATGGAATTAGTGAATTAATACATGGAGTTTCATTTGTACATCACAAACTAGTAATAGATGTTGTAAATTTTGTATAAAAAGATTTAATATCATAACTATTTCTTTGAAACTAGAAATTTGTAGGAAATTTTTAAACTGAGAATTAAAAGATTTATTTATTTATGGTTTAATATCAACATTAATCATCAACAGAGAAGATTTGACAATTCAATTATCTGTAATACCTCATAATGAATTAAGAAGAATTATATGACAGATATTTAACGAAGATGACACGTTTTCATTATCTTTACTTTTTAGATTCGTTCCTCCCTATTTTGAGAACTTAATAGATGGAGCCAAACACATTGTGAAAATTATAAAGACTCCTAGATATTATAAAGCTTGGCAAAGAGATGATCAAGAACTTCGTGAAGGCTTCGATCCATATGAAGCAGAAGAATCGCTGACAAACTTCAGAATTTATCAAATTGCCAGTCTACGCGATGGGTACTCGAACCTCATGGAGCCCTCATGATTTATCAAGATGAAAGCATGACTGTTTTTCTTAATGAAAGAATGATTGAAGGAAAATTATTCAAATTCAAATTCTATCATCACGAGAATAACAGACAGACACAGACAGACATACATACACACATGCAGACAGACACACACATACAGACAGACGCACACACATACAGACACATAGACACAGACACACGCACACACACACACACACGTACAGACATACATACACACAAACATACATACAGACAGACAGACACACAGACATACAATTAGACACACAGACATACAGACATACAGACAGACATACAGACATACAGACACACACACACACACACAGACACACACACACACACACACACACATACATACATACAGACAGAGACAGACATACATACAGAAATACATAAGGTTCCTTTCAAGTTGAGTCCAATTTGCCAAGACCAGATTACTAAGTCATTGTGACTAACTTTTGAGGACAATTAGTTGGAATTGTAGTACTTTGTCATTATTCTTTTAATTACTTTTTATTTTATCGAGGTTTCGCCTCAATTCTAGTAGATTTGTTGTAATTTACATACTTTTTTTGTTTCATTCCTCACAATATGGCAACTTGTCTTCTTCAAAGTTGAAGATGGTTGGCACTTGCTTGCTGTTGATACCTTATTCAATTGGCCGTAGTGTCTCCTTATCACGAGACACATGGAGTTAGACATGTGGATGATAAAAGAGTCCTCCTTTGAGCCTAAAACATGGATTTCAGTGTTTTGACTCATTTGCTCTTGGCTCCTTCAACCTTTTTTCTTAGCAGATTCATAATTAATTTATGATAGACCTCCACTTACCCATCGGTTTGAGGGTGGTGCACTGAGACAAATTGAGGTGAATTCCCTGAGCTTGACAAAATTTCTCCATTTTCTTGCTGTTGAAAATGATTGTCATTTGTAAAATATATCTACAAACAATGTTAACAACTATAAAAAATTGCACACCACTATGCGGTTATCTTTGTCAATGATTTTGCCTCAAACTGCTTTGAGAAGAAGTCTTTTCTTGCTCGTTGAATCGGCTTTGAACATTAAATGGCAGAAATGGTCCAATCAAATCCATCTCCTAAAACTGCAAAAGACAAAAATTGAACTTTGGTTTGCAGCTTGTGCGAAATTTTCTGTTGGATTGGGGCAAATTTTGGTAAGGAATGCATTTCTTTGAGAAAGCTTCAACTTCTTTTTTTAGGTTATTCCATAAATGCCATTGCATTCGAATTTTGTGCTTCGACGTTTTTTCCCCTTAGTGACTTCCACATTCTTTGGTACCTTCCATTAAAAATTTTGTTGCCTTTTCTTCTCTTATGCACCTCACATTCAAAGAGATGGTTGATCTCTTGAATAACTCGTCCCCCAAGAAAAAGGCATTGTGCCTCTTTGTTCCTGACCTTTTTGCGAATATTTCATTGAAGATGGGATCTATCTTAACTTTAGGTACGTGATGAACAAGTCTTTCCAGGTCCTCAGGGGACCCTCTTTGATCCCCATGACCTCAACTTTGTTTGTGTTGGGTCATTGTAGTTCTTGGGCAGGTTGCCCATCAGGATTTTAAATTTTGGAGAGAGAAAAAGAGGAGCATAACAGATGATTGAAGAGAGAGAAAATGCGAAGGTGAGAGGGCAAACAGAAGAGGAGCTGAGAGATTGGTTCCGTTGTTCCTCCTCTGGTTCCTCCAGATGCTGTTGGTATCATCAATGCTTCCAACAAGCTCTTGGGAAACCGTTGAACCTGTCGACATTTTGGCAGCGGGTTCCCTATCACAAACTCATTTCTTCCATGTTGCTAAGTGTTTAAAGTAGATGCGGGGACAGGAGTGGGAACATGACAGTGGGGGAATGTGATCGAGCAAATGAGGGCACTTGCTAGTTAGGTTTAGGTTTTGGAATTATTATTATTATTATTATTTTCAATTGAGGACATAATGGTCCTCTTGTTCTTGCATAAGCTGCGTTAGGGGGAAGGTATACTAGTGAGATGTGGGCTTGAGGGAGATTCTTTTTTTACTTTCCTAAGTTTTCTTTTTCCAAATAGGTCAACGCTTATGTTTAGCTACATATGAATGCTTTGTTATGTGTGTGTATGTACATATTTGATCCTTAAAAAAATCAGACATAAGCTCGAGGCTTTGAGTTCAAATTATTTTTCCAACATGCGTCTACTGCTAACTTAAGTGCCAGTTAGGCCTTCACTATGGCAGATTCTTGTAGCATCAATGCATTGCAGTTGATTGTGTTTAGTTCTTTATTCTTGTTATTTTTAATTTTGTTCACATGTTACTTATTCTCTAATTTTATGATGCCCGTATAAACTTTTTTGACTGCATCATTTCTCCACCTCTTCTTATGATTTCAGCTCTAATAAGTTGTAACGTCGTTTGACTTGATTAATCCTTATTATAGGGAATATTGGGAATATACCGCTGGTCCTGATTGCTGCTTTATGTCGAGACAAATCCAACCCATTTGGTGACCCTACCAAATGCCACGAATCAGGAAATGCTTATATTTCGTTTGGTCAGTGGGTATGTCTGGTTGCTTTCCATGCGATTACATTGTGATCCATAATTCTCTTATGTCTTCATTATCTAGACCAAGTTAAGTTGCTTTCTCCCATCACCAAACTGAGAGTGGGTACATTAAATTAATTTCTTTTAATAGAAAGCAGATCTATCATTCTTGTAGCCGAACTTATAAACTCTTATTTTACAGTTCCGTATTTCTGTTATGGTATATTCATTCTTCCTAATTAAGTTCTGGTTGATGTTCTTCTGCACCATTGCTACTTCTCTTTTATCTTTTGGAAGATAATTGCTCTTGTTTTCTTCTTCAAGTTATTATTGAAATTAGTTGTCCTTGATCAGCGTGTGAAATTCTTTAGTTCATGTCCTTTTTCTTGTGCTGCCGGAATTCAGCTATAAAGAACAACTTTATTCGGTTAAATTTCTGTTTATATTAATATAATTGCTTTAGCTAAATATTCCAGTGTGGTCTTTTTTATGTCCTTATTTTCATTCAAATCCGTGCATCTTGAATACATTCTTCCCTTCATTATGGTTTCAAGTAACCTACAGCCTTTCATAAGACAAGTTTTATTTCATGATCATTATCAATTGTATCATTGCAATTATGCATACATGATTCTCCTTTCAGGACAAAATATTACCTTGAATACTCTCCCATCCCATATCTTTTCAAATCCCATTTGCTGCTGCTCTCCTAACAAATTAGGAATTTTAATAAAATTACATTTATTCGATACGCAGGTTATATTGGCATCTTTAAGGACCGATAAGAGCCAATTTGCTTCTCTATCAATCCATTCTAATGCCAACTCCTAGTCTCACTATACCCACTTCCTTGTGTGCCTATGCTTTAGTGATATCATACAGGCCAACTCTCCACGCGATTTCATGTGCAAATTTCTCTTTTTTCACTGCAACTTGTTTTTCTTAGTGAATTATCTCATGAATATCCTTGTTTAATAAAATTGAGAACAGCTTTTCTGATGTTAGTTGTTCGTAAATAGCTTTATAATGAACGAGCTATTTATGTTAATGATATGCATATCTAGTTATTTCTGACTTTGATGCAGTATAAACTTGTTGATAATATCCTTTATTAAGTTGAATCTCTTTGCCTTATGTTGGAGTACATAAATGGATAATATTTTATACTATGATTTATTTTATACAAGCTAGAATTCTCATGTACTTGTAATTGTCAAATTTTTTAATATAGCGTTTCTTCGCTGTTTGCATTATATATTGACTTTGCTATTTGTACAGGTTGGTGCCATTATTTTGTATACTTATGTGTTTCAGATGCTTGCTCCACCATTTGGAGAAACCTTTGATAGTGCTGAAGAGGAAACACTTCCAATCAAGGACCATACTGCTGAAGAGAAGCTGCCATCTAAGGCTCCAGCCACAAAACTAGAGAAAATATCCACCAAGGTTTTTGAAAATGCCAAACCTGAACAGGTGCCCTTGTTAGCTTCAAAGGAATCTAAAGCTGGAATTACTAAGAGGGTAAGAAGAAAAATTGTAAAACCATCAATTTGTTAAACAGTTTCATTCAGATGCTAAACTTTAGTTGGTAAATGGCAGAATGTCATACGATAAGTATTAATTTTGATGCCAATTTGATGATATGATGACCTTTTAATTTCTTTTCTCTTCCTTCTTAAATCTTCCCTGTGAGTAAAATTGCAGCTTGAGGAAATTCGCTTGGAGAAGAATATAAGAGGAAGTATCGGTGTGGAGTACCCTTTTCCATAGGTATTGTTTAGTGATTTTAATTGAAGAGAGAGAACTATTGTATGAAGGGATTGAATTGAATGCCATGCAAATTTTGGAATTAATCTCATGATAATTGTGGAATTTTATTCTTGTTAGGTAGTAGCCCAGACTGCCAGCCATATTGGCCCGTATAGCCCCTATAGGTTCAATCTATGGAAGTTTTTTTTTTTCTTATTTTGTTGTATGTCTTTCCTTCATTATTTTTTTTGGATTTGGTAAGTTGTAATAGTTTTAATTATGTTTTTAGTAGTTTTCCCCCATATAATAAGGGAAATGTTGTAATTTGAAAACGATTGAATAAGAGAATATAGTTTCTCCACCTTTCTGAATGTTATTAGAACTTCAAACTCTGTTTCGACGGGATTAGGACATCCTTCACCTGTATGCATCAATCGACACTGCTAAATGTTTTGACCGGATTGCTCGTCTCATCTGTTCGCATTGATCGACGTTGTCGAACGCTTCGTCTAGATTACTCATCGGTCTCGACTGTGTTGTTGGGCTTTTGATCTGAGTAGTTCGTCGGTCTTGTCCGCTTATGATGAAGTAGAAGATTTTGTCGGCCCATTTTAAACACGAAATTCTCGTCAGCCTTGTTGTTAACCATCGACTTGGGTGCCTTTAATCTCATTGTACGTTGGGCTTGTTGGTTGTCACCAACTTGGGTGCCTTCGACTGCCTCGTTGGTCAGTCTTGTCTTCTGCATGCCTTTCTTCGCTCGCTTCTACAGCCTCCAACAGTTGGAATCTTCTCTGTAGCTGTCGGAATCCCCCAGCCAGCGTACAGACCCTTCTCAGCTCCTTATGATAGTTATTGGAATCCTGTTGTAATTGCAGTCCTTTATTCTTGTTGCTAGCAATAACCAACTTCCTTATCCAACCCTAAATGTGCATCGGGTTTACGAGCAAGTACGAAATGAAGATGTCTAGTTCTACTCTAGAGGTTGGCTTTAAATCAGAGACTAGGAATTCTTGAAATCTCTTCTTCTAATAAACTCAAAATGGTCCCAATCCGTGTTTTTTTACATTTGTGGAAAAGGAAAAGAGGAACATCTCACTGGAGAGGGCATAGTACTGATTTGAACCATCATTTATGGAAGATTCATGACATGTGATCATGTTTTGGCTGATCAATTATATGACAACAAAAGTATGTGAAAATTTCTTGCTTTATAGAGCAACACAGGAGATTTGGGAAGCAGCTTATGAGACATATTTTAGTACCAAAAATACTGTATAATTGTTTGAGATTGAGACAAAACTGCATGAGTTCCGACATAAAAAGTTGTATGTTACTCAATGCTTCAACACACTATCAAGGTATGTTTATAGCTAGATATGTATGATATATATGTATTTTATGATGTATAAAATAATAGTGGAGAATAAGAGGATGATCAAGTTCTTATTAGGTTTAAATAAGAACTTAGATGAGTTAAGAGGGAGAAACATGGGAATGAAGCCTCTCCCTGCAATTAGGGAAGCTTTTGCTGAAGTTAGAAGAGAATAAAGAAGGAAGAATCTCATGATGGCCGGAAGTGTGGGTTCATCTAGCACTGAAAGCTCGGCGTTATACATACACAATTACTCCCATGATTGAGAGTCAAAGTAGAATCATCCTTGTGTTAACATTGTAAGAAACTTGGTCACACGTATGACAAGTGTTGAAACTACATGGAAGACCAGTAGATTGGAAACCTGGACAAGGGAGGAAGGACCAAGACAGTAAGACCAATGCTGCTACCTCTTCTGAAGGGTTTGCCGACTCTAGTCCCTTCACTAAGGAACAACTAAAGGTATTGAAGAAGCTTCTTACTAGCATGAAGGAGAAGCCTACTAGCTTGTTGATATACTAAGGTATCATATCCTCCTCTTACCTTGCTAACAATGGAAATTTTCGACCTTAGATAAAAATTCAGATGCTTCCGATCACATGATTGGAGCATTCATGCTTTCATCAGCAACCAAGAGATCTCCTCCTCCAAATTTGTTGGACTTATCAGTGAATCTCACATAAGGATTTTTAGGAAAAGAGAAGCGAAAGTTTTCAAAGGCATGCAATTATGTTCCTTAATTAGATTGTAACTTACTTTCGATTAACAATCTTACTTATGATTTGCACTGTGTTACGAAATTCTATTACAACTATTGTGAATTTCATGTGGTGGATTCGGGAAAGTGATTGTTAGTGTTGAATTACATCCATGCCTATATCTGCTCAAGGAAAACTGCTCTCTTAACACACAAGTGTCTTCACCATTCTCTTCTCATGTTCCCATGTCTATTATTTTTGAGTTTGTTGAAATTAAAGTTTTATAATGACGTTGTCGTCTGGGTTATCCTAATTTTTATTATGCTGTAAAGTTTTATCGCAGCTTCTTTATTATTAAGAAATTAGAGCTTTATCAGTGTGAAACTTGTTAATTGGCCAAACATACTCGTCTTGTATATGTTGTCTTAGTACAAACCCTCACATCCTTTTTCTATCATCCACAATGACATTTGGGGACCATCAAAATTGAAAATCATCAACAGAGCCAAATTGTTTGTCTCCTTCATTGATGATCATATTAAAACTAGTTGAATATTCCTAATGAATGAGAATTCTAAAATTATATAAAGCTTTCAATCCTTACATGACATAATTTACACTCAGTTCCAATGCAATATTAAGATTCTTAGAATTTAATAATGCAAAGGAATAGTTCAACTCGATCCTTGGACGCTATCTTGCAAAGAAATATTTTATCCATGTGTTTCTTGTGTTGAGACTCCACAATAAAATGAGATAGCTTAGAGGAAGAATAAACATTTTCTCGAGGTATCTAGTCTTAAATGCTTTCGCACTTTGTTCTAGAAGTTTTCTGGGGAGATAAAATGCTCACATCCACCTACCCATGTAAATGCCGAGCAAGGTCCTTGGAATCAAAGTCCCTCTCTACATTTGATGGAAACATACCCTCATATTAGAGCATTCTCATCCAATCTTCCTCTAAAATATTTTGCAGTCTCTTTTTTTCACATTCACTGACCAAAATACACAAAGTTTGACCCAAAATCCATGAAATATATATTTCTTTGTTATGCTTCTAACAAAAATGGGTACAAGTGTTATTCTCCCATTTCTAAGTGGTTGTTTGGTCGGTGGAAAAAAATATTGCGATGTAAAATAAATATAATACAAATGTAATGTGTTCTATTTAAAATACTCCGAGTTGTTTTGTTTATTGTAAAATAAATGGATGGCTTCATTTTGTTTGGCTTGGTTTGAGGTAAAACAATGCATTTAAAAAGAAAAAAATTAATCTATTGGTGGAGGGGTGGCGGTCGGCAACAGACTGGTGGCGGGGGGCGGCAATGGCCTGTCGGGGGTGTGGGGGGCGTGATAGTCCGGGGTGGGAGTGCTGCGGCGGCGGCCAATCCACATGAGAAACATAAATGTGGAAAAGACCAAATCTTCTGAGATTTCCATAATATCCATAATTTCTTCCTAGTTTAGAATTCAAGTAGACATTTATTTCAAACTGTGTTCGTTGTGATTGCTTAAGTCTCTTATCTTAGTATTATTGGTGCAGGTTATTTCTATGGTACTCTTTGTCCTGCGGAAGTTAAAACAGCCACCGATAATTGCTTCTGTAAGTGTGTATTTTCTGAATAACAAGGCATTTGGAGTTGTCTACTTATTTTCCTGAATAAATTTGTAAATTCAAAATAATCTTTGATTTATTAATTGTCACACCTGCCCTTCTTGAAATTTGACCTTCTTAACTGTTGTGCTGCATTATAGAGCTGTTTTGCATCCCAGGCTTCTTTTTATAAAGCACTGCAAGATTATCCAAAAACTTTTCTATGTTTTAAAGTTGAGATTTGATTCACTTATTACTGTTGATGCTAAATACCTGCACAGTCAATTCAAGTGTTTCAACAGGACCATTCATTGCTAGCAAAGCTGAAGAGGACCCCTAGGCCACAGACGTGTTAATAATTGTACTTCAATAAATGCAACAAGCGAAAGATTAAAGACTTAAAAACATAGCAAAATAAATTTTACACAAACAAAACGCAAATTACCCAAAAGCATTATGGGCCAAAAATGTTAGAATGTTTTAATAAATTTATTTAAATAGAGGTAGCAAGCTAAAGCTCAACAGTACAAGGAAGATGTGCACTTAAATATAAGTGTTAATACAATGACATAAATGTTATAGGTAAATGATTGATTCAACTTTACAACGGTGTGCACTAAAGGCTAGAGCATGCTAGTTGGTGCTTTGAAATAAATGCTTCAAATGATAATCAATGATTTAAAGAGGGCATAGAATTAAAAGTTTAGAGCACTAGCGGGTGAGATAAGTCAAGTGAGATGAACAATAAAAGTGAGCATTGAGTGATTTATAGTGGTTTAACTATCCTTCAAACCTACATCCATTCTTCTAGCTCCACTTTGGGAAGTTCACTAACCAACTTCACCAACCATGAAGATTTATATTATACAAGCTTCTACCTCTTTTTTACTGTCAATAGGGCTGCAAACAAACTGAACCTGCCAAGCCAAGTAGGAGTCTATTGAAGTTCGAGCTCGTTTGCTAAAACATTGCTCAAACTCGGCTAGATCTCGATTCATGCTTTTATGATACTATTCAGGCTCGATTCATTTTAATTTATTAATGTTCAAATTCGATTTTTGCTTGGTTCGAGTTGAGCTTGATTTTAACGAGCTTTAATCGAGCAGCTCATTTTACCTCATTAAGCTTAATAATCGAGCAACTACTTAGGCTATTTAATTGAACATTCAACATATTAGTCAAATTGATCAAACAGTTCATTCAGCCTTAGCTACAGAGCGAGCCTGAGCTTATTAAATTTATATAAGACAAGATAATTGGAATTAATTTGTATATTCTAATTTTTATTTTAAAATTTTAAATTAATTTTAAATTAAATTTATAATACGTCATCAACTGCAGGCCCGAGTATTACAAGAACCGCACCTTAAAGATACTTACAACTTTTCTTTTAAAGAGACAATGGTAATTCCCTTACCAATGGGAGACTAAGGTTCTGTTTGGGGCAGTTGCAACTTATCAATAAGCTGCTGTGCAACAGCTGTCTCAAAAAGTTGTTGTGCATAAGCTGTTGCAAATAAACTGACTGATTGTTTATTTTTTTGCAGATTGAAAACAACTGTGCGGCAACTATTTTTGGACAAATGACATTTCTGCTTCTGTGTAGTAATATTGTTTGCAACAGAATTGTCATAGAAATATGTTTGATACTTGAGAAGCAAAAATCCACTTCAGAATGATACAAAAAGTAAGATATACATCTCATTTAACAGTGAGTATCATGTTACTAAAATAAAAAAAAATTATTTAAATAACATTTAATAATATGATAATATTATTTTTAAAATGCAAACGACGTATGTCACAAGTTACGCCGTTCTCTATGGATATTATCCTGCTCAATCTCGGTGGTGGAATCTGTCAGACTGTTTGCCCATCAGAAGAAGTCACTTCTCCGTAATTCTCCACGGGCACCCGTAAAACTGACTCTCGTAGCTATGTGGCTGACGCGACGTCAGCAAAGAAGTTTGAAGTTCACAATGACACAACAATCCTCAGGAGGTCCCATAAATCCCAGAACGCATCCTTTCTGAATGGTTTAAAAGACAATCCATTAGTCATAACACAAGTAGAAATTGATAAAGAAAAGTAATTAATTACAGTTTTGTGCAGACGTGAGGTCTTAGAGAATTCAGTATACGAACCAACGGATCTGCTACTACGAGAAGACAACACACCTTATAAAAAAAGTATTCTTGGACCAAGCTCATGTGTGTCATATGCATATCACAACAAAAAATCATCCAAAAGAAACTAAAAAACCGCAGCACTGAAAATAAGAGAGGAACTTGGTTGTCTTCATTAGGATTTCACATGTGACACCAGCAAACAATGACTAACAGGTCATCCAGAAGAACCCATAAGATCTAACGTCTCATTATGGACATCTCAAACCCACCAAAAAATGAAACAAAAGAAATGAAACAAGAAAAAAAACACTTCCAAATTACGTAAAAAAATCCAAACAATCTAAATTGAATATACAAGGAACGGAAATAAACATGAACTGCATAAAATAAATAAGTAGAAATAATTAATCACAGTTTTATGTAAATGTGAGGTCTTAAAGAACTTAGTATACCAATTAACGAATTTATCACTATAAGAATTCAACAGACCTTATAAAAAAAAGAGTTCTTAGTTGTCTTTAACCTCGGGTAATACCAAGCTTATATATATCATATATGCATATCACCAAAAAAGCCATCCAAAAGAACCTCAAAAAGCGCAACACGGAAAAAAGAGAGGAACTTGGTTGTCTTCATTAGGATTTCACATGTAACACCAACCAGAGACAACTAATAGACCATCCTGAAGAACCCATAAGGTCTAATCTCATCATAGACATCTCAAATTCACAAAAACCCCAAACCAAAAAAAAAAAAAAAAACAAATGAAATGCAAATGGAAAAAAAAAAACTTACAAGTAGGGTAAATGACCCAAACAGTCAATAACAAATAAAGAAGAAATGAAAATAAACATAAATTGAATAAAAAATAAATAATATTGAATAAAGTATAAATAATATAATAATAAATACTATAATCACCCTTTTACAATGACATCCGTAATTTGTTCCTCAATTCTGTCATCTCGCTTGCACCTTCCCTGTGTTTAGTGTAGGTGGTGGAAGCATCATTCTAGAACTGCAACAAAGAATGTCCAAAACGGTAGTCAAATGCCTCGGCAGGGGCATACTCATGATCCTCTTCCGCCCTACGGAAGTTGGTATTGTTGCGGGAAGGATGCCGCCGAATGTAATTATGGAGAGTCATCGTGACAATCACAATCTGCACCTGTTTGGGAGACGGTTATGATGACATATCGTGGAGTGTAACTCATTTCTTCTTCCAAACACCAAAAGTTTTCTCAATAACACTATATAAAGAAGAATCTTTTTATTGAACATTTCTTTTCTGCCTCATGTTACATTGTTTGCTCGCTTAAAGTCAGATATGTTGTATCTTGTATCAAGATTAGGCTTGAGATATCCTCACTGCAATAAATATCCAACATTAACCATGTAATATTTACCTGATATATATTGCATGATTAATATTGAGGGAAAACTGATTTGCGAGAGTAGCCGAGTCTCAATCGTATCTATGGGAGAATGTGAGAAGTTGTACTTTTATCTCGTGTTGAGGCTTTGAAAATTCTACTGTCGTGTGCACTGTACTCGCAACTGAACACGACAAAAGTGAAAGACATGTTGAAGTCGCGTACAGACAGTCTGCGTTGAGGACCCTCAACGACTGATGAATGCAATATTTTGATTATTTAGAATACGTGCATCAACTTGTTTCTATCGATTGCTCTAATACAATTCTGGGAAGATAATGATTGGTTACGTAATAGTCCGTTTAAATGTATGATCTGTTGGTTTTATAACTTGTAAAGAAAAACTCACAAGTGCCTTCCACTGAGAAGTATCTGCAAATTATTTCGGAGGAATTTTGAAATCGCTCTATTGCTCTTCGCATTGATTTATTTTATGATAATATTTAAAGGGTTATTGCCAACACCTCCCGCAAAGTCATCCTGAAAGAGCTATAAAGTTCATGATTTATGCGTAGTTTCTCCAACAAATCGTTAAATGTCGCTTGTGTCATGCGGAACGTATTATTAAATCTCATTGGGTGGCCCGCAAGGAACTCCCCAACCCATTTGTCCCCAACATATGAGGATGTCATGCAAGGGAAACAATCTATGTACAAGTTATAATATTCGTACATCAAGCATACAACAATTACAATTCTTCTTCTGCGCCTTTCTCTGGTTGCATCAATGTAGATCAATATCATACCGGCTAACACAGAAGCATCAATGAATTAACTACAATCATATAAGGTTACGAATAACACAATAAACTTATAAGCATCAGTGAATAAGCCATATTTCAAGCAGTTAAAATATCCATAACAAAATGAAAAACGATACACAAACGTAAGTATCTCAAGTGATAGTAAATGGAAAAAACTTCTTCTCCAATTGAAGATCGAGTCCACTAATTTTAAATTTATTTGCAGCGGACACCACCTACAAATTCATAACATCAACTTCAATTTAAAAATAAAATGAAATTGACCAAATTAGGGGGCATGTCAAAAAATGCTCACCGCAAGTATTTTTGCCCATCATTCATCGGAAACATCAATGGTTCGATTCACCGGATCCCACCTCAAGCCGTTGTTCTTCATTTCAATCCCTTTCAAATTTTCTAATCTTTCTTAAGTTGATTCCATTCGTTCTTTAATTGCATCCTATCATACTCTTTGATGTACTGTCCTTGAATTTTCTAATAATATTTTGTCACTCTTCTTTGTTGAAATATGTTGTTGGTCTATTTCTCCGATCAATCTCCTTGAGGTAAATATTACAAAATATTATTTTTGTTTCTTTGTCCCAAATTGCGGGTGTACCAGCCTCTTTGGTTTTAACCATTTTATTACTATAATGAAAAAAAAAATAAAGTTACATAAATAAAATGCAACAATATTTGTGCATG